TGAACCGGTTGTCCTGTGTCCCCATTTGCAATAGTAATTTTGACTCTTTTCAAAGTTACAAGCACACATGTGGTGTGAAGCATTAAGTCGCTCTTAGGGCAAATACCCATAGAGGAAATCGGGAGGTAAATGATAAAATATATTTACAGCATGGAAAAAAAAAAAAAAAGGCAAAAGGGGACAGGGAGTATGTGTGTGTACGGTCGGTGGTGGGTGGGGGTTCTGCTAGTTATTTACTGTGATGGTCAGCTGACCACCCGTGAAGGTGACATCCGAATGCATGCCGAAGGGGGGAGGGGAGGAGCCGTGCCTATATCGGGAAAAGAGAATGCCTGGGCTCCTGGGCTGGAAATGTGCCTGGTGTGTTCAGGGCACAGTGAGAGGGACAGTGTGGCTGGAAGGCCGTGAGCAAGAGGGCGGAGAGTGGGAGGAGAAGTGAGGTCAGAGAGGTGACGGGAGCCTTGGTGGCTATTGTGGTTATGAGGTGCCTCTGATTTCCCTCTCTCTGCTGCAGAGTTCCCCGATCCAGGAAACTGCCACCACCCCCGAGCTGCCTTCAGAGACCCAGGAGACCCCAAGCCCCGCCCTGTGCAGGTGACACCCCTCCCCCACTCACCACCCCTCCCCCCCCGCCTGCTGTCCTTGTCCCCACCAGTGTCCTCTCTCCACAGCCCTCTGAGGAAGTCACCTCTGACCCTCGAGGATTTCAAATTCCTGGCAGTGCTGGGCCGGGGTCACTTTGGGAAGGTGAGGCTGGGGGGCAAGGAGTTGGGGGAACAGGGAGTCCCCAGGCTGGCCACGAAGGCCATCGTTGCCCACTGTGGTTCCAGGTGCTGCTCTCCGAATTCCGGCCCAACGGGGAGCTGTTCGCCATCAAGGCTTTGAAGAAAGGCGACATTGTGGCCCGAGATGAGGTTGAAAGGTGGGGACTCAGCCCAGGCCCTCTGAGAACCTCAGTCTTTTCTTCTGGGAAATGGGAGACAGGGCAGTCCCCTCTCTGGAGCTGCTGTGACAGTGATTCATAATAGTCACTGGCACTTATTAAGCTAGTACTTAAGAGAATAACTTGGAAAGCACCCACTATGCGCTTTATGTTCAGTAACTCATTTGTTCTCGACGACAGCCCTATGAGGTAAATACTGTTATTGTTCCCATTCTGCTGATGACACAGGAAGGTCGAGCAAGTTGCCCAGAGTCACAAAGCCAGTAAGCAGCAGGTCGGGGATTCAAACCTAGGGACTCAGGCTCTGAAGCCTGTACCCTTCACGGCACCATTGTCCTGCCTCTGCTTTGGGTCAGGGCCATGGGTTCAAATCCCACCCCTGCCACAAATGTGCTTAGAGACCCTGGGGAAGTCACTTTGCCCTTCTGATCCTTGTCCTTGCCCTCTATAAAAGGGGAGTAATAATGCCTTTCTTGCAGGGTTGTCAGGTGGATTAAGTGAGAGGATGCATCTAGAGCATTCTACAGTACCTGGCCCCCTGTAAAAAGGTCCAGCAGAGGCACCGAGATTGTCCCTAATCTTCCTGACATCCTTTTGTCAATCAGGAACCCAAGTCAGATAGGCTTAAGCAAAAGAGGAATTTATTGGTCTGGGTCCGAAAAGTCCAGGGGTGGGCTACCTTCAGGCATGGCTATATCCAGGTGCTCAGATGACGTCTCTCAGTCGGCTTCCCTCTTTGTGGGCTTTGCTTGCAATTCTCTCATGGGAGCAGAGATAACCCCCCTACACAGCAGTGTAAGGCTCATCCACTAGTTTTAGCCCTTCTTCCTTAATAATTCCAGCAGAAACCCTGAGATTGAGCCCCACTACCTTGGCTTGCCCATTCCCAAACCAGTTCTTGGCCAGGAAAATGGGTGCTCCAATTAGCCCACCCTGGCTGGTCCCTAAAGGGATATTGGGGGGCTGTTACTAGGATGACATGTGGCTTCTGGGTACCTGTTTAGCAGACAAAGCTGCTGGGGTGCAGAAATATTAGGCAACTTGCCCAAGGCTGCCCGGCCACTCGAGGTCCTCAGCAAACAGCTGACGATCGAGGACTTCTTGGGAGTGTGGGAGTTGAGGGTGGGGGTGGGGGGCTGCTGTGGTCTCTGACCCCCGCCCCCTCCCCTGCCCAGCCTGATGTGTGAGAAGCGGATCTTGGCAGCAGTGACCAGAGCAGGACACCCCTTCCTGGTGAACCTGTTCGGCTGTTTCCAGACGCCAGAGCACGTGTGCTTCGTGATGGAGTACTCGGCGGGCGGGGATCTCATGCTGCACATCCACAGTGACGTGTTCTCCGAGCCACGTGCCGTGTGAGCTCCCCCGCCCGCGCCTCAACCCCCAACAGGCGGTGGCAGCCCCCTTCGGCCCTGCTTCCCCCTCCCCCCGAGCCTCCTGGAGTTTTGGGGGGGGGGACCGGGGAGCTTTCGAGGATGTGGGGGCCAGGCTTCCATGGCCTGCGTACCTCGCTGGGAGGCCTGGCTCCGTCACACCAGCTTCTCTCTGCAGCTTTTATTCAGCCTGTGTGGTGCTGGGGTTGCAGTTTCTCCACGAACACAAGATCGTGTACAGGTGTGTGCCCTTGCGTGTATGTGCTCCTGTATGCACGCGCTGCCCACTGGGGGCCCTCAGGCTTCAGGCAGGGCCCAGACCCCCCCTCATCCCTCTTTACATCCCCCCAACCCATCACAGGGACCTGAAGTTGGACAATTTGCTCCTGGACACCGAGGGCTATGTCAAGATCGCAGACTTTGGCCTCTGCAAGGAGGGTGAGGGGCGGGGCTGGGATTTGAAGGGCTGGCCTCTGGGGATTAGACAGAGTGGGGGAGGGAATGGAGTCCCCAGCCCTACCTGGGTCACCCCCGACCCTGACCCTGGGATGGGGCTGGCTGGCTGGGCCACCCGTGCTGGGCTGGGAGCCTCCCTCCCCACATAACCTCACATGGCCCTACTGCCCCCAGGGATGGGCTATGGGGACCGGACCAGCACATTCTGTGGGACCCCGGAGTTCCTGGCCCCCGAGGTGCTGACAGACACATCTTACACGCGGGCCGTGGACTGGTGGGGGCTGGGCGTGCTGCTCTATGAGATGCTGGTTGGCGAGGTGAGGCCCCAGGCTGCCCTTACCCTGCCTGACCCTGGGATCATGCCGGAAACTGCTTGTGCCTAGGGGTGGGATCAAACGGTGCCTCCATGTGCTGTGTGATGGGGACAGCTGGTTTTGCCTCCCTAGCCTCAATTTTTGCATCTGTAAAATGGGGTACTTACCTTCCCACATCAGCCAGCACCCAGGTGAAGGTGTGCTGGAAGCAGAGGGCTCAGGTGGGGCTGGGAGGGGAGTGGCCAGGAGGAGGGGCCTAATTCATCCTGGCTCTCCCTGTCCCCAGTCCCCATTCCCAGGGGACGACGAGGAGGAGGTGTTTGACAGCATAGTCAATGATGAGGTTCGCTACCCACGGTTCCTGTCCGCTGAAGCCATTGGCATCATGCGCAGGGTGAGGACCCCCCCTACTTGGGCCTGGGCAGGGGCTCTGGGGCCAGGAAGGGGAAGACTGACACCTCTCCTTCCCCCAGCTGCTGCGAAGGAATCCAGAGCGGAGGTTGGGATCCAGCGAGAGGGATGCAGAGGATGTGAAAAAGCAGCCCTTCTATAGGGTGAGGTCACCCCAAGTGCCTGGCCAACTCCCCACCAGAGACCTGGTCATCCCCCCACCCCCAGGGCCTATTCATTTCTCCCCTACCAAGATCTAGTCACTTCCCCTCCAACATTATCATCTCTATTTCCTCCCCGCTCCTTCACACCCGCTGACCCTCCTACACCCACATCTACTCCAGGCTGGCCTGGTGGGGCCACTGCCATGTGTATGAACCCAGGCTCCCTCTCCCCGACGCCGGGGCTCCCCATACTCACACTGTCATCCTTACTGGGCCCCCAGCCCCCCACTTGACCCCTCTGTGTTGTGACCCCTATGCTAATCGCCACAGATGCAGGGCTGGGCGGGCGACGAGGGGCTGGCCCCTCCTGCAGTCTGCACCTCTCCCCCGCCACGCTGACCTCTTCCTCTCTCTCCCCCTTCTCCCTTACTTAGACGCTGGGCTGGGACACTCTGCTGGCCCGGCGCTTGCCACCTCCCTTCGTGCCCACGCTGTCAGGCCGCACTGATGTCAGCAACTTTGATGAGGAGTTCACAGGGGAGGCCCCCACGCTGAGCCCGCCCCGCGACGCGCGGCCCCTCACGGCCACAGAGCAGGCAGCCTTCCAGGACTTCGACTTCGTGGCCGGCGGCTGCTAGCCTTCTCGCCTGCCCCTGCCCTGACCAAGCTCTCAGCAGTTTTTAAAAAGGCCTTTGGGGTTTGCCCCATCCATGCATCCTTCGGCTCCTCTTGTGTGCAGTCATGGTGGCACGGCGGGGCGGGGTGGCGTGGGGTCGTGTACTTGGAAGTGGGGAGAGTTGGTGGGGGCTGATCCAGTGGGTGGCCAGGGGCATAGGGAGTGACGGGGAGATGCCCTGGGTTCTGGTATGGGGGTCACTTGATGAGGGTTAAGGGAAGGTGGGGACTCCGGGCTCTTACTAGGGTGGGGAGCGTGGGCGGGCTGAGATGGGACAGGCTGGGAGTTGTGTTTAGGGACACTGGAGTTTTGAGGCCCTGCTGGGGTGTGGTTTGGGGGTAGGGCCTTGGGGATGTGTTGGAGGAGCTCAGGGCCACAATGAGAGAATTGTTGCTAGGGTCAGCCCTGGCGGGCGGTAGGAGCAAAAAGCGCTTCGGACTCTGGCTCAGCTGCTCTGCCCTCGACACAGCCCGGGAGCTGGGGTTGGGACCGTGGCATTCTGCGCATGCTCCAGCGGCTCCCGCTCCGCGTCTGGCCTCCCCGCGCCTCTGCGTGGAAGGTCCCAGAACTGCACACCCCGGAGGCTCAGGCGGCACCTCTATCGCCCCCGCGCGGCCACAGGGGTGCTACAACCCCGACCCCACACATGCCTGCGCAGGTCCGCAAAATGGCTTTATTCCCTGAAGGCTCCGCGCTGCGGTCCTGGGCCCGGCCCGGGGTGGTCCGACTTAGCCGCTGGGACTCCTGGCTCGCCTACAGGTGGCTGAGGCTACTGTGCCTGGAGCTGCGCAGCGAGCTGGCCTCCCAGGCGCTCCTGGTTAGGCGCAGCCCCGCAGGGCTGCCCTTGGCGCCGGCCCTCGGGGGCAGGAGGCGAAGCAGTTGGCGCAGCACCGCCTGGCGCAGCAGGATGTACACCCAGGGGTCCAGGATCTGGTTCCAGGAGGCGAGGCGCACAGCCAAAAACAGCGGCCGCTGCAGGGAGCTGGAGCCCCAGCCCCCGACGGCCAGCACCACTAACACCTGCGGGAGAAGCCGGTGTGAGCGGTGGGGCAGGTGTAAAGAGAAGAGGACTGGCCAAGGGTGGGGCTGGGATGGATGCGAGCGTGGCTGGGATGGATGCGAGGAGGAGCAGAGGCTCACGGCGGAGGCGGGGTGGGGGTGGGGAGGGGGAGACTCAGAAGTCTTCGTCAGAACGAACTACGGAAGGAGGGGCGAAGAAGGCGTGGCAGAAGCAAAGGCCTTCCGTGAGTGGGGGCTCCAGCAAAAAAGGAGAGAAGTCCCAGGTATCCTGAAGGACTGGGGACCAAGGGGAGAAGAGAAACGGGGCGGGGTGCTGGTGGAAGGGGCTAGGGAATGAAGCATCCGGGTCTAGAGGAGTGGGGCTGGGAGGAAGGTTGCCTGGGTAGCGTGAACTACAAAGACCCCAGGTAGGATAAGAGAAGGGGACGGGGTGGAGGGGATGGGATGTCAGAGAGAGAGGCCAAAGGGCTGTCTCTCCTGACTGGTGGGGCCTCGAGGGGGTGGGGCCCCGGCTGGGGAAGGGAGGGAACCCAGGTGGGTCTCAGGAGGGAAAAGGGTGGGAGGGGCCAAGGAGGGGGGCAGGGAGGAGCCCGGCCCGAGGGGCGTGTGCGCCCCTCACCAGCAGCGGGCTCCAGCAGATGCACGACACCACCATGATGCCCACGAGCTGGCCCACCATCTCCACATCGTGAGCGCGGGCTCTGCGCGCTGAGCCACGGCCCGGGGAGCCGCCGGGGACCGAAGCGACGGACGAGGAGGACGAAGCTGAGGCCGAGCGGGGCGCGCGCGCCCCCCAGCGACGGCGGCCG